GTCCGCTTCGGAATGCACTAGCTCGTTTTTTGTCAGTGTTTGAAACACCATTGAAACGAGACCAAAAAAGTAAACGTGTAATTCGTTTCCCAAGCATAAATCAGGTTGTCAGTTTTCCAGAAAAAAAAATTGTTGATGTGTATGAAACTGCATGGTGGTATACACGAGCGTAAATTTGTGTAAAAATACAGCCTCGGGATCCATCTTTTTCTTTTCCCAGAGACAGTTTTGGACCTTGCAGACATTTTCGATTGTTGAGGAAAGTTCGTTTGACCCCACTGAACCAGTATCCGCTATCACAAAAATGCATGCAACTACTGTACAAATTGCCATGGGCTTTGGCATTGAAACTCGGTCAATCCGTAGGAGGAAAAAATAATAAATAGATGCTGGAACTTGGGAACTTGCTCCTGTTAAAAAAAAAAAAAGATCACCGTACAAAGGCTGGGCTGCTAATGAACAAAAGAAAACATTGAGTCCCGCCAGACTGCATAACTTAGTGCTTACGCATGCCTACGTGTGCAGTTTCCGAGTTGACGAGCACTTTTTCCCCCCTTTCCCTCGGAACTCTAATGTCCAACAAAAATAAATGAAATTCAATTTCTCTGGAACACAAATCAAATTAGACAACATAAAAATGCAGTGATATACCTGCCTGTATCAATCATAGTCTGCCCATCAGGGGGTCAGTCGAACTATTCACAGGTGTTGTACATGTAATTGACAGTTATGCTGCACACCACTTCTCTCCCCCCCCCCTTCTGCCTTCAATCTCAGGTATTGTGGGGGAACCTATTAGCAGGATGGCAGGTGTGAAAAGTCTCTGCAGGAACAAAACAACAGAAGGGCCGCCAACTTAAGTCGGCCCTTCTTTTCCTTGTGATCAAATCAAAAATAGAAATAAACCTCCCTGCTAAATCGGATTATGCATGTTTCTAGGTTGTGTGTTTGTCGTCGGCATATTTTTTTTTTTTTCGTCTCCGTATTTTGGCGATGTTGCAAATATTTTCGGCCGCACGCCTGCTGGTGTTTCGGAGAGTGTTTTGGCATTTTTATTTAATAAAATATTAATGTTACCCCTCTGAGGTTGACACACTACCGTGACACTAGATACACTGGGAGAATATATTTAGAACACTGTACTTCAGACAGTATAATGATATAGAGCATGTATTGTGCAGTAACCCAGAATATTTTCTTTGTGTAAATGTCGCAAGACCTAGTCCAATTAGAAATGTCCTAGGTGTCCATGAAATCAAACTTTCCTAAAACAAATTCTTTCCATTTCCGTGTTGAAATGAGAACTCGTTCATCCTAATATTGAAACTGATAATCAATTCTAAGACAAATTACATACATGTAATTCCTGACTTAGTTCTATTTTCAAAAGTTTAAAGGCCTTAAATCATACTAGAGAACCTTGGTTAGACCCTATTGAAAATAATTCTCATTTATTTGTAGGAACCAAGATTTTCAACTTCAACCTGAAGTAGATGCTCACATAAATGTGACACATGCAAATATTTCACTAAATTTCAGAAACATTTTGACTTCTCTGCATTTTAGCTTCAAATGTTTACTGTCTGTTATGTAAAACGTCTTTGGTCTCTGCGCATCATTCCCTCTACATGTACAATGTACACTGTAATTACACTTGACAAATCTACCGGTAGGATCAATAATTACAATAACTATTTTTAACTAACATATTAACCCTAACCCCCTAGGCCCTCTGGCTAGGATGCAACCTCAATCCTGCAAAATCCTCCAATTTCCACCAAAAAAAAATTGGATTCTGCCTCAATCCTCCAAAATCATCCGTTATTTTCTTGAATTTAGTGTGTGGAGGGTGACCACTGCCTCAATCCTCAAAATCCTCTGCCAATTAATGCTATGGTTTGAGGCAGTGGGAATGGCGTTTAGAAGCAGTGCGGATGGAATAGGAGAAAAACACAGGGCTGATTTGTGCATGGCTGAACATAACCAATGCAGGATATGGCCTACTGGCTTGACATAGTGCGTCCTCCACAAAAAAAGTGATACATCTGTGCCATTCATCCTCAATCCTCTAAAATCATCCAAAACCAACAGGAGGATTTTGGAGGAGCGAGAAGGGTTAGGGTTAATCCATTAGCACTTGTATTACATTGTACTGCACTGACATTACTCCTTGATGAATTAATAAACCATGATTATGAGCAGGATAAGGAGTAACATGCAGAGTGCTTTGGGGTTGGCACAGGGCTGAATGGGTCAATGAACGGAAGCTAATGCTGTTTTGACAAATCATAAAAACTTGATTAATTCAGTGATAATATCTTGATCCAAACCGGAGCCTACCTAGGGGAAAAAGCACAGGTGTTAACAGCTCATTTCGCAGAGAGATTCAAAATGAGCCATCTCAGCTCTGTAGAAGCCCTACTGCAAACACTACTGTATCTGATCCCCCCCCATTATATCTCAATCATGTAGCTGCCTAATAAAATAACAGTGGCCTACCACCTAATTAACCAGGGCCTTCCATTGAATTATTGACCAGAGATCAATCTCCAGCCTAGTTGATTGTACATGTATGCCACAGCAAAGGGATTTAGTGTTAATCCTATTCAGCGAGCACACAGGATGTTTCACACCCATCTTTTATCACTGGTTATTGACTGTATAGATTCTGATTGATTCTTTTATTGTGTTGTAAGGAGGGGGGGGGGGAGGGAGGTAGAGAGGGGGGGGGGGATTTCAAGCAATGCTAGGGATATGCAAATATTCTGAAGACAGAGTTGGACACCTGACCAAACAAAATCTCCAAACTCTGATCCTCTGCACGTGTATTGACAGGATAGTGTTCATTTGATCGCAGACAAAAACAACATGGTGCACGGAGACAAAATCATGATTACATTCTTGGCACCACAGTATCCCACAAATGTAGAGAAAAGTATCAGTGACTTTCGCATACTGCACGACCCGCCATGCTTCAACCATACAGAAAACTCCAAGTTCTATGCCAGTAACTTGTTGTAAGAAGCATCTTACGCACGATAATGGTGTGACCAAAAACAGGGTAATAATATCTTACATAATTACATAGGGTTTAGTGGTACAGATTACACTACGGTATTTATCTGTCTGTGGAACTCTCTGTGTATTACAGGTGGTACAGTTTGGTAGTAACAGTAAAAGCTGCATGTAATTTACATGTATGCTCATGCATCTACCGGTATACGGTAATAGCGGTTACATTTTATTACTGTATCACTGTAGATCCTGTTCATGTATATTATTTATATAAAATAATAAAATAAACCTTTGGGAATTGGTAATTCGTTAAGAGCAGTATGGCCTTAGTACGTGTACATGTTCAGTGTGCAACTACATACCATTCATTTATGCTCAAATTCAGTCATATGGTTGGTAGTAAGCCATATTGCGAATTAAATTCCAGTAACTTCTGGAACCCTGACTTGCTCGAATGCTTGGCTCATTTTAACTTTGAATTCTCCAGACCAAAGAGACTGTTGCTATATCACGTGATTCGGGGCAAGCCTTACACTAGCAACCCCCAGCTCCAGAATGTCTTGGTGTCTTTGTACCATTCTCACCAGTTGTGAACAATGTATTAATGCTGAGCATCTCTTACATAAAATGCAACTTTGCAAGAATTTGCCCCGAATCATGTGATAGGCCTATAGCAACAGTGTCTTTGGTCTGGAGAATTTAAGTTAAAACACATTATCTGATTATGAGCAAGTTAGTGTACCAGATGTTATTCAAATTCAACTCGCAAAGGGTATTTATTCGCAAATGGCTTACAATCATGTATTGTATGTGTACATGTGGATGTACAAAATAATGTACATGAGATGTACATGTAATGTACATGTATGTACATGTATGTGCATGTATGCGTAAAGCACATGTTCATGAGGGAAGTTCTGAGGTGGAAAGTCATGTGAAAAGCCATACTCTGGGCACACATCTGTTCAATCACTTAGAAGACAAAATGTGATCCCAAGAAGATCTGGAGTGCGAGTGTTGTACACATGTAAAATCAATTTATGTTGAACATGAGCAATTACATGTCCCTGCTTTTCCTTTATGGCCCAGATGTCAGAATCAATTGGCCATCAAACACACTGCCTAGCCACTCTGACAAAGCGTGACACCACCGGTTTCAATAACCGCACAGCACATGTGATCAATCTCTGGTCCCCCCTCGGTTTTCTTTACGGTTGAGATTTTGTTGCCGAATTGTTCCCGCAGCTGCTTTTTAGGGCCGACTCTTCGTCCCTCCTTTTGGTTCTCCGTTGAGCTTAATCTGGCACAGATCTGGTCGTCAAGGTTACCGATGTCATGTGATGAGGTGCGAAGGGACGCAGCCTGAATCCTCCATCTGAATATTATTGGAAACAGATGTTCCACGGTGGCCGTTACATTTTGCGTGCATCCTTCTAATAAAAAAGTGTTTGCTGTGAATGTGATGTTTGGGAGAAAGACTTTGAAAGTTTGAATCAGGTGAAAGATATTATGTTGACTTGAATCGGGTCTTTTGAAAGAAAGTGACAGTGACATCTTTAGTGTTATAGGCCCCTACTCCTTGTTGCAAAATTTGTGCTTACCAGTAGCTTGTGTTGAACAAGAAAAGGAAAGTTACAAGTCAACTTTGTTTAGTTTTGAGTTTTCACAAAATGCACGTACCGGTACTGTGTAACGATGTTGTTAAATTTTAACATTGATATCATTAAAAATGAGTTAAAAATTTGATTTAAAACTACATTGATGTTTTTTGTATTTATTTTGACTGCAGCAAGTTTGTGTACAAATTCAACTACAGTGATTTTTGTTCCAGATTTGAATAAGGCAATAATTCCATTGTATGTTTCTGTCAATTTGCTTGTCAAAACTCTTATATTGCCAACTTGTTCATAAAAACCAGCAGTCAATATGTTGTTGTATAATAAAATTGATTTTCCACTTTGTGTTCGTCATTTTTCTGACTACAGGGACGTCAGTAAGAATCGCATTCAGACACTACCCAACCACTGGCCCAGCACACGCAACCTGACAAGGCTACTCTTGTAAGTACTATCACAATTTTCACCCTTTTCACCAAATGCACCTTTCTTTTGTTTTGGTCAAGTCTTGTAGTTAGTATTACCCATTTGACCAAGTACATAGAAGTCTCCCTTGAGTACCAGAAAGAACAGCTTACCAAGCCTAAACCTCACATAGTGTTTATGCTGCTTTGTGACAGCATCAGCAATCACGCGGTGGGTTGACGTGGTAGTAATGCACGCAGTACCGGGCACAGTGACTCAGAATTCCAAACTGTTTTTTTTTTCCCCCGTTTATTTCGGGTTTTTCACAAGGTGGCTTAACCAACCGCAAATGCAAAACTGACACTAACCCGACCAGACTCAAATTATGGAAAAACCGACCCGGTTTGAACTGAAGGCGGTTTTGGGTCAGGTCGGTTTCGGTTCGGGACGGATTTGCACAACATTAACCCTAACTCCTAACTCCCTACTGTATTTTTATTAAGTACTGGACCAAGCCCGCCAAAATCCATCAATCACACTGCTCAAATAGTCCATCGTACTCCATCAATATGTAGTCAAACCAGGCCTGCAGAATCAAAATGGGGGATGGATTTTGATTTAGAGGTTAGTTTTAGCAGCTCCATAACAGTGGGCCCTGCTTAGCGTGAAGATTACGAAACAGTATTATCTGCTTTGCAGTTCAATGAAATCAAGACCTGGCAATTGTCCCCAGCCATCCCATCTACACCTTGCCCGTACTGTCAGTGAAATGCTATTTATTTGCCTTGTTGCATCTCCCATATTTATTGTTTACGGCCCAACACCTTCTTGTTTAGCGGTATGCCTATTATCACCACATTGGTGTTTATTTTTATGAGAAATCGACACCCTGGCTTGCCGACAATACGTCTGCAGACATCTGGGCTAGCATTGACTAATACATACGTACATGTATCGTCACCTCTTGGAATCTGTACATGTATGCAGTTTTGGCACTGTAGCTTGTTTGTCATCATGGCCATTGGTGGAATTTCATAAATTTGATCTTCAATTTGTTTGAAGTTGATACCTGAAATGCCTGAGTGACTAGAGGAAGGACTGTACGGGATACAAGTGTTAACTTTTTCGTGACGATAGCAGCAAGGAAAATAGGGTTGACAATCCCCCCCCCCCCCCAAAAAAACAAAGCGCTGACTGTGGGATTATTCAATAGTTCCCTGTTTTGGGGTTTTTGAAGATGGTTGGTACGCGTGCGTGATGCAGTTTGGCAAGTTTTTTGTTAATTTTTTTTACCAATCTTGGAATTCCCGCTGCCATGACCTTCACCTATTAAATGAACATGTGATAGAATAAGCGCCCATTCGCCAGCTCACTGTTCACTGTTATTGTAAAATTTACTATCTCTTCTTTCACTCTTGTATTGAAATTTCCCGAATCTTCAAAAATAAACCATTTTGTGCAGTACTTAAAAGCCCATGCCTCTTTTTCTTTTTGTAAAGATTACTAATTTATGTATTCTTGAAGTATTTATTTTAAAATTTGTATTCATTAATTATCTCAAACTATCTTGACCGATAAAGTTCATCTGATCCTAACCAGAAATCCAATTTTTCTATCTTTGATTCCAAATCTCTTTTCCGCCTTCTCAAAATTTCAATTTTCGTGCCTAAGAATTCAATCACGCTGGTCCTAAGGGACGAGCCTGGATTATAACAAAGCTCTCGGATCTACCACAAATGCCTCTGAGTGACTACACAGCTCAACCTGCACTTTCCTGGTTTTTTTTGCCTCATCTTTTTTCTTCGTTTATTAAAACCATTCAGGTTAATTAAAACCAGCCTGGCCTCCCTTAGCATCGTAAGAGCTGTTCGCTTGCTGCATTGTGCCCAGGGGGACCACGAGGGACTCAGGATGAACCTTTTTCCCCCTGTTTTTTAATCATAGGCGGAGATTATCATAATGTTACGCTTGGGGCATTAAGTGGTGTTGGGGGGGAGGGGAGGTCGGGTATGTATGTATAGTACCCTACCTCTGCCTCTCTTGAGCCATTGTTTATGACCCTGCACTTTAGGGGACAGCTCTATGAGCCTCTAATTTAAATTAAAAAAAAATTCCGTTCAACACAAGTAAAGCCCGAGATTATAAATGTACACGTACACGTAATACTGACTGTGATTAAGGATCTGCAAGGAATTTGGAAATTGGGTGAAAAATGGCAGTTTGCTATTCCTTTACAAAAAAAAAATGAATGTGAAATGACACCAAATAGCTACATTATTATTTTTTTTATTTTAAATAAAAACCTGGACAAGAGTTTCCAACTATCCCTGACCCTTGCACGGGCCCATGGTTTATCTTAATGTTGTCATACATGTATATCTGTTTTTTCCCCCTTTCTGATGGCAATAATACAAATGCATACCAGATAATTATGGTACAGTCTGAATAATCAGTGAAATTGATTTTAAAATGAATTACATTGACACTGACCTGTACAAGTTTGCATACATGTACATGTGCAGTGTTTATTGAATGGTGTATATTTTTTAGTCTTTGTTCCAATGCAAAGTGCACATGCACATGAACAAAATACTTGGATTATGTGCGACTGACTGTCCTACATGTACCGATACACATAGTCAGTGTTGCATTTCTGCCTACATGTATGGCGATCTTGGACAGTTTCATTTTTATCATCATGCACAATATTTGGATGCCGTTTTCCTATGCACATGTCAACATGAACAATGCCATGGTCCAGTGGTTACGGTGCTTGACTCCTGTACGATGGTGTGTGGATTCGAACCCTGTCAGAAACGTGTTGTGCTCTTGGGCAGGACACTTACATGTACATGCACATGTAGCTACATTTGCCTCTCTCCACCCAGGAGTATAAATTGGTACCTATGCTGTGAGGGTAGAGGACTGAATGTGCGCTGATATCGGCTGCCGCGTGGCCTCATGGCCTGATGAACGGGGGAATAATTGTAAAGTGCTTTGAGATTGTCGATACGATGGATAGCGCTGTATAAGCATACATGCATGTATCCATGTACATGTGTATGCAATATGGCTGACTTTCATTTCAGCAACACCCTGACTGCATGAACCTTTGGTCACAGTTCTCCCTCAACAGGTAATCAGAATGCAATCACAGAGTCAACAACAAAGGTGGCAACAAATAAGAGTTGATTCTTATCAATCCAGCCAGAGTCCGATGATAACAACCCAAACCTTGGGATCAGCTAGGGATGCTGCAGATAATAATTGATAAGCCCAATCAGTATCAATGATTAATCTTTTAGGGAGGGTGTTATAACACAGTACTAATGAGGGATGGAGGTCAATACAGCCATGCTGCTACTGGGCTTCGTTAAAGGGGCACTGCTACTGGGCACCGTAACCGTTAAAGGGGCATTCTCATGGACCAGCAGCTATGCTGAATTTAATGAAAGAGATCCGAGCGATTTCCTTCAAATGAGTTTTTTTTTTCAGGCCTTTTTAAAATAGATATGGCAGCATTGAAATAAATGTACGGTATCTACCGGTTACTCTCTAGTTGAAATATTTGTTAAATATTTTTTTTATGAATTTAAAACCCTTTGATAAACATTCTTTAACCAAATTAGTATGGTAATGGGTTTTTTTAGTTTCAAAATTTATGCCTACATGTTCAGATTCAAAAATCATGTGAACTTGTAAATGTTCATCCTTCTTGGGCCGATTGTGCATTCTTCGGGTACCAGAAAACCATGAAAATGCTGATGAATTCCACTGGAAAATTGAAAATCTAGCATCTGGCCTCCTTGCATGTACACAAGAGTGCATCAGAGATCTCTTCAAATGTACCCAGTGAGAGTAGTTCAAATAATTGGAAATTACTCACTAAAGAAATACATGTACATGTTCAAGCGATTCCCATACACTAGCTCTTTACATATGACTCATAATCTAAAGGGACAGGTAGTCAAGTTTAAAAGTGAAAAACGATCATCCTTTTACCCACAGGAATTGAACCATTTACTGGCCAAGTACCGTTGTTTACATGTATAACCCAGTCTTTAAAAAAAGTCTTTTCCCAAAATAACACTTATCATTAAGAATTGATTAATTTGGCTGAGAACACAAAGGGCAAGAGCATGGATTAAATCAGCCAATGCACGCAGTGCTCCGTATTTAGAGGAAGGGAAGTGTAATTATAAACGCGTACAGTGTCTGCATGATAAGGCCAACTTAGCGGCGTGAAGACGGGACTTCTAAGCCTTTCACCGTTCTCTGTCTCTTTCCTGTGACTGGTTTTTACTTGGGGTGGAATTACGATCAAAGCCTGCAGAGTTTTGAAATTTTCTTTCGTTTTCAATCTTTCCTCTCTGGATTTTCGGGGTGACTCCACTCGTAAATCAGTCTAGGAGTCTGCCAGATCGTTCCTCTGGGTTTAAATGTTTTAAGACAGGGTGTCACTTCCAGGGCAAACTTTAGACTTGAGAATTCTTTACAAAATAGTGTCTGCGTTCATTTTGGGGTTTAACATGGACGAAGGCTGTCTCTGAGTGATTAAGAGAACATGGCTGGTGAATTAACCAACTTCCAGACTGAACCTAAATTCAAGCGCAGTGTCTTGAGAAATTCGAAAGGAACTCTTTGATCCATCCCTCAAAAGCCACTTTACATGTAGATTGGTCTTCTTCAAAGTACTTCTTAATGAGATTGGAGCACAGATGCGCTTAACTATAAAATAAACTACAGACGTTTCAGCTCAATATGCCTTGACAGGCTGTGGAACATTACCAAATGGGCATTTAACCTGTCCCTCAATTTGGTAATGATTCCAAAAGCATTAGTAAAAATGAAAAAAGGCAAGAAACAGCAGAAACCTCTTGATAAACGTTGTCAATCAAAAATAACATTAGACGATGATTACCCAGAGCACTTACTCCAAGGAGAATGCTATCGCCAAATATGAGCACCAGCAATCTTGCTGTGCAGTATTGTAATGACATCACTCTCTACAAAATGTCTGATTATTGTCATTTCAAAAG